AAAGAGTATCTGGTATTTATGTCCATTCTTATTATCTGCATAATGTAACCTTTAAAAGTATTTCTCAAAGTGTTTACGTTTATGGGAACAAATAAAGTATTCAAAAATGGTTAGAAAGTTCACAAAAACTGTACAAACTCACATATGGTCAACTGTCATTTTCTCAAAGAGCTTGCATAAGTCCTTATTGCACACAGCCACATTGCTCCCAACCTTGATGGCAAGAAGAACGGCTCCGAAGATAATCCTCTTCCAGTTGGATGGACAAATGTTGATATCAGCACACTTTAGAAGTCTTTTTATGTATACCTGCAAAACAGAGCACTGGCCTTTGATTTAGCTCAGTTTAAGTGCTGTGATAAGAACTCCTATGAAAAACCAGAAAACTTCTGGTTTTGACAAGAAAGTAGATGCCTTTTATTCTTATGTTCTACAGAGACTTTGTTTCATCAGGTTAAGTCAGGGGCCATTATCACAATCACAGCCCAAATATTTCTGCTACCTACTCTGCCCAGCGGGGGTAGATTAACACATCCAAGGAACAATGAACAGAAGGTAGTAGCTCTCAATCACAACATACACGAGAATTGCCTGGGGATACACCCTGGGACTCAGCTTAGACCTAAATGCCACGCATTCCGGCCCATGAAGCAAATGGTCTTGTTACTCCTCTTCATCCAAGCCCTCCACATGCCCTGGATGTGTGCGCACTGCGTGTGCATGTGTGCACTGAAGTGTGGGGGGAGAAATCAGAAATCCCACCTGCAGCCTTTAATAGCAATTGTTCTGTAATGAGAAATGCAAGGCAACATTTAAGCCATAATGATGATTCAACTCAAAGGTGTGTATTTGCTTTCATAAGTTTCTCTTAAAGTTCTGAGATAATTTCAGAAACCTACTTTCATTTAAAATCAGAAATATACTACCCTGTTAACAAGATCAATTTCTTTTTTTTTTTTTTGGAAATAGAGTCCTGTTCTGTTGCCTAGGCTGAAGTACACTGGCTTGATCTCCGGTCACTGCACTCTGCCTCCTGAGTTCAGCAATTCTCCTGCCTCAGTCTCCCGAGTGGCTGGGACTATAGGGGCGTGCCACCATGACTGGCTAATTTTTGTATTTTTGGGAGAGAAAGGGTTTAACCACATTGGCCAAGCCACTCTATAAGACCAATTTCTAAAGATGCTTTATAAATAGAAAATATCTTACCAAACTTATGATTGCTAAGTCAGCATTTAGCCCTTTGGCATGAAACAGGGTACGCATGAATTTGAAAATCATTTTGTGTGCAGGATCATATATAAAGTATTCTTCCGGAACTTGTCCTCGCTGAAAGAAGAAAGGATGCAATGTAAGTATCCATTGAAGAGAAAACCTGAAGTGCTCTTAAGACAGCACTGTTCACATTTGTGCCCATGTATCATTTACAATAATTTTGATAGGGGAGATGTCTTTGAGTTTTTACAATATGAACAGTGGGATCTTAAAATACCATAATGATTTAATACTCATTAACATTCACCTAAATATCATATGAGCTAAAGTTCAGAAAATTTTTGTTCTTTCTTACACTTTGCCCCACATAATTCTATCCAAATGTAGGCTACTCTTAGGCTTTAATGTCGTACCGATGGTATGTCATTCTCTGCAATAAACTTTGAGAAAATACAGTTTCCTGTAACCATGAGGCTCTAAGCCTACACTGTTAAATGCAATAGTCACTAGCCACATGTGGCTATTATGTACTTGAGGAAGTACATTTTAAAATTTTTATAACATGTAGGTTGAATTAAACTTAAATTATATTTAACTCTCTTCATAAAAGTCACACTTCTGTGTTATTATATATACTCATATTGCTTGATGCTACTAATAAGTGTCTTTTAAAAGATACATTTTCTGTTATTTCACTAGCAGATTTACTCATACTAGTTCACTAACTAAACACAGGTGCAGATCAGTTCTTATTCTAACACATTCTTTTTACAACACCTAAGAGGACTAAATGCAACACGAAATGGGGAGGATTTAAAGATGGCTTTGACTTCAGCATGAAACAAATACAAGTCTATGATAAAAATACAACCTCAATAAAAGTGCCACTTACTTTAAGTGGGAATATACGTTCGTCAAAGATTTCCAAAGTTCTATTTCCAT